ATCCTAGCACAGGAGATGCTAATCTAGCAGTTTTCTGGTAGTCTCACCACACCCCTTCTTGGACACTTCAGTCCTGTCTTGCACATTTTGATTTACATTTGTCGGCAATACCCATGAAAACCCTCCAAAACACAATCTATCCTCCTCCCTCTATTATGCTTTCTTTTCCCAAACCTCTCCTGGCCCCCTAGTTTAGTAGACCATCCTTTATAATGGTAGCACATACCTCCCTACAAAAGTAGAGCCAATCTACAACGGTATACGTGACAATGGCACATTCATTCACCTCAAACTCTTGATTACATGTGTCATGAATGTTTCTTTTGATGCTCTCTCACTGCCTCTGTGACATGATATGGGAGGAAGCAATAGCTCTTAAAATGGAAAATTTATTAATTATATATTATTTCATACAGTATAGTAATATTTGTTTAATAAGCAAAGAAGTACATTACCTGAGTGTACTTTTAGTAAGGTAGCCACTTTAGAATGACCTTCACAGTCAAGAGCAAAGTGACAGTCGTTTTTGCAGCTAAAATGTGGGGCAAGTCATATATCTTTGTGTTTTTATTATGAATTATACAGCATTAAAAATATCCTTGTCACTGAAATGACACGGCTGCGGTGAGATTGTTGAGAGCTCATCATCAAGTGGACCAAAAATTTTTATAGCCTTAACCATGTCCTGAATTTTGGCAGAATTCATAAATTTCCTGTTTGCCAGAGTTTTAAGGCACTCAAGCCATTGTTGGCTTTTAGAGTTCTCTCTTCTCATTCCTTCTTTTTTGAGTAAGAATTGTCTTTGCTTTTTAAATCAAACTTAATGGATGTCACATAGCTGGTAATTTTTGTAAAATTTTGCCTGCATACAGTGTAAAGTTATAGCAAAACTTGCTATGAGGTGGTTGCTAAATGCTTGAATGGAATCTACATAACTATGGATCACCACTGGCCACATAGCACTAATCACCAAATTGGCTACTAACAATGTATGTACAATGTATTATTGTATTGATTTAGTTATTTGCTGATTATGTCAGGCGTTATAATTATCCATGTATTTATCCTCTGTGCTGAATAGCTACGTAAACCAATAAACGATCTCTTTGAAGAGGGTGTGCTGTTCCTCTTTCCAATAAATGACTTGTACAGGTTAATATGTTCCACTGGGGCACCAATACAGGATTTAGCTTACAAAAATGATCAGTTTTAGCTGAAATGATTCCAGCTCTTCATCATCGTTCCCAGAATTCTGCGACTCTTGCGGAGCAGGAGATGGAGTAGTCAGCTAGTAGGAATAACAGAAAGCTTATGGTCACCAGTACCATGACCTGGAGAGCTGGGGAATGTTTGTTCTAGCAAACTTACCTTTCACTCCCAATTCAATATTGATTAATTTACAGGATCTGTAGACTCGATATTAGCCCCTTCATTGAGTAACAACTGGATAGCATCACTCTTGTTATTGTCAGCTGCTGCATGTAAGTTACCCTATAAGAATTAAACACTACAAATAAAGTGCATACAAAATGATAATACAATCAATTTTATTATGCCACTATTATGTAGTTCTTAATTCACAGTACACTTTAAATCAGTATAAACATTATGATACAACAAAGTAAAGAATTCTTTTGGACATTAAATATGTATTAATATCTGGTAACTTTCTCATGAGGGATCTAACATTTAATGGCAATAAATTGAATGAGGTAACTGTTGAGTAACTGCTTGTTGTAATATTGGCTAGGCCTTGAAGACCCAGACATCGGGCCTGCCATTGATGATATTAGGAAAGGTAAAGGCAATACTGCCTAAAGAACAAAAAGAAACACATTTTAGTATTGTAGCTACAAAAATTATGATGATCTAACTCTGTTCTTCAGTGACTCGGGTGATGGTAATGTAGTTGATGCTAAAACTTCCAAGTTCCTTGAGTTTGGAGAGCATTTAAGGAACTTAAATCCTCCACAATATATACACTTACAAATGCTCCACATTGGGAAAAAAGCTGGAGGCAAAAGCCTCATTGGCTTGTCAATTTAGTTACCCAATGCTATTTATTTCTCTTAATAATTGACTTTTTGTCAATTTTCCATTTGTTTGGTGGTAGATTGACAGATGAGCCTGCAGTGATCTCCAGGACACCTTCCTTCCATTCATGCCTGCTGTTGTGCAACTTCATGCAGCTTCAACTGTCATCATCCTCCTCCTCCTGGTGCTGCTCGTGTACAGGTAGCCTTTTGACAATAGTTTTAAGCAGCTCCGATTGCTCTGCAAGAATCCTTTCTTGCTCTATTTAATGCTATTGCTGTATGTTGTTAAGGCAGCAATCAATAAAGTAAGTAATGAACTCGCTGTAGGGCTTGAATTTCTGAATGGGAGCTACTTTTCTCTTTGTCAGTGTTATCACATTTAGCAGCTCCTTACTCACAATTTTGACAGTAATTCTAACATGTGCTCATTAGAATGACATCACCTGGTACTAGACTAATTTTTGATTTCTATGGCTTCATAGGTTAAGTCAATTATAGCAATGATTTTTGTCATACTAAGCGAATGTAAAACATTAGTGGGGCGAGCCTTCGCGAGTTATGATTATGCATAGTTTATTGAAATGAAACTTTTCACTATGATACATGACAAAATGAAATCAACATTATCATTACAATTCAACAGTAGTGACATTTTGAAAATCAACAACAGTATCATTGACAATATTAAATGACTTTTGTCCAACATTCAGCAGCATTACTTCACCATCAGCTTCAGTGACTTCACTTTGTAGCCTCTGTATGACATCCCCTAACATACTCACAGTTTTTCTTGTTGAATCTGGTCCAATTTTAGTAGTACCTTCAATTATA